CGCTTCGCGGACCCATGGGGAGCCCCACCGAAGGCTCCACGTGGGGGCGCCCGCATGCGTCCGCCACACTACGGCGCTTCGTGGCACCATAGGCAGCGACGCCGAAGACCCCGGCCCATGGGGGTGCCCGCATGCGCCCGCAATACCCAGCACAGTGTTTCATGGCCCCACAGCGAGTTCCACTGAAGGCCCCATGGGGGTGCCCGCGTGCGTCCGCCACACCCAGCACAGCGTCGAATTCGTGGCCGCATAGGAGCCCCTTCCGAAGGCCCCAGCGGGGGTGCCCGCATGCGCCCGCCACGCCCAGTCTGAGTGCGTGCGCGCAGGCACGCGCGCGCGACATCTCTCCCCTCCCCCAGCCGACCCCCCACCCCGCGCGCGCGGGAAATATCATGTTCGCAGTCCGCTTGGCCAGCAAAGTGCGCGATGGTGGGGGGGGGGCGGGGAGGGGGGGGAAGGGCCTGCCGCGCGCGCAGCGGCAAGCGCGCGTCGGGCCCTTTCGCTCCTCGCGAACCAATGCGCGGAAGGGTGGGCGGCAGGGCGGCGGCGGTGGTGGTGGTGGTGGTGGTGGTGGTGGTTGTGGTGATGGTGTGTTGGTGTGTTGGTGTGTTGGTGTGTTGGTGTGTGTGTGTGTGCTTCTGTGTGTGTGCGTGTGTGTGTGTGTGTGTGTTTGTGTGTGTGTGTGTGTGCGTGCGTGCGTGCGTGCGTGTGTGTGTGTGTGCGTGTGTGCGTGTGTGCGTGTGTGCGTGTGTGCGTGTGTGCGTGTGTGCGTGTGTGCGTGTGCGTGTGCGCGTGTGTGCGTGTGTGCGTGTGTGCGTGTGCGTGTGCGTGTGTGTGTGTGTGTGTGTGTGTGTGTGGGGGGGGGGGGCTGGGGCGGGGCGGGGGTTCGGGGGGGGATGGGGGGGGGGGGAAGTCCTGCGGCAGCCGCCGCAGCTGGCAATTGCACGATTGGCAACGAAGAAGAGGAGGGGACAACAATGCAAAATTCGCGCGCCGTCGAAGAACGGGGATAGGAGGAGGACAATGTGGACGAGATCCAGTCCGAACAGGGAGGCGACGAACAAACTGAAGCCGTTCCCTGGCCACGCGGCGGGCGTTCACGCCCGCGTCCTCAGCCGCGCGCGCGTCGCCCACGCGCCCCGTGCCCCTCTTCTTCGCGGACGAGCGCGCGCGCCGCCTTGGCGCGACAAGAGCGCCAGTCGTGCGCCGCCTCGGGCGGCGCAGGGCCAGGGTTCGGCCGCGTGGCCTTTGGCGAAGCCAAACGCCTTCTCCCGCTGCGTTCGCGCTGCGCCCCGAGCTCCCGCTACGGCCACGGCCGCGCAGCTGTTGACCCGCAGATGCCTCGATGAGATCTGCACCTGTCAGGATGTCCGCCCTGCTGGCGTCGCGGGTCGCCCCAGTGGTCGACCGCCAGCAGGTCCTCCAGGCCATCCTTCTCGTGGGCCACCTGGAGGACCTCGCCTGGCTCAGGTTATGGGGCCTCTTGGCGACGCCGAAGCCCCGCGGTGGCAATTCGCGCGTTCTGCGGCCACCCGCACTGCGCCCGCCCCCCCCCCCCCTTCCCGCCCCCCCCGCCACCGCTGCCCCCAGCGCGCGGCAACGACCGCTGCGCGGCGGCGGTTCGGACGCAAGTCCGCCGAATCCGTCGCGGCGCGCTGGCCCCCCGATGGGGCCCGCCGCGCGCAGACGGAAGGCGGCGGCCGCGCCTCTTGCGCAACGGGCGGCAGTCGCAACGCCTGCGCCTCCTGCCAGAGGTCGACATTGCCCTTCGCGCGCACGCGCTTGACCCGCCCGCCCACCCATCTACCCGCCCCCCCGCCCGCCGCCGCCGCCCCCCCCCCCCCCGCGCCAGGCCGCCGAAACGCCATCGAGCTGGACTGCCCCGACTTGTCCGACCCGCGAAGGCGCTCCAGGTCGGGCGCCGGGGCGCGGGCGGTCGCAATGCCCAGCGCGGCGGCTGCGAGCCAGTATTCCCAAGGAGCACGCCCTCGACCATGCAAGGTCGCCGCTTTCGGATGGTCTTCCTTCAGGCCTTTGCCATCTTGCCTTGCGCGAAGCAGAACAATTCACGGCCTGCCCTTGCAGTTGCCAGAACCCGTTGCGTCGCTAGGCGATGGTGGGCACCCGCGGCTCGTCGGCTTCGCCGCCTGGCGGGCCGAGTGCCGTCGAATAGGAACTAGAAGCGCGGGTCTCGAGTGACTGAGCGCAGTCGGGAGCCGCGGGCATCAATCCCTGAGGTTTCACGGCGAGGTGCGCCCCGCGGGTAGGCGCGGCACTGCGCCGCAGTGGTCTGCGAGGGCTCAGTGGGTCGCGCTTGCGAGCGCGCGAACCAGGGGCTTCCAGCCGTTGAATCGCTGTCGCGACTGCGTCACGGGGCCTCGGCCCCGATCCTCCTGCCAGCGCCGCCCAGACAGCTGGCCATGCGAATGTGCTTACGAAATGGGGCGCCGCCTGGCCGCCCTTGGCGCCCCGCGAGAACAGCGCGGCCCTGCCGCCCGCAGTCGGCTTCGACGCCTGCGCCCCCGACGCAAGCGACCCCCCCCTCCGACCGCAGCCGACGCTGCAATTTTCTTCGCGCCCTTTCACTGCCGAGTGGCGTGGGGGGCAGCGGCGGCGCATGCGCTGGGCATGCGAGTTGTCTTCGGCGCAGGGCGAAGTGCGCTTGCCCCCGCGCAGTGCCCGATCTGGGAACGCGGGCCGAATTGTCGCGCCGCGCGCCGCTGCCTCCTTCTTGATGCGGGACGCGGTGGCGGGCGGGCGGGCGGGGGGGATTGCGCGGGGGCGGGGGCAGGGGGGGCGCGCGCGCGCGGGGCGGGGCGGGGGTGGGCGGGGTGGGGCGGGGGCGGGGCGGGGCGGTGGATGGGGCGGGGGGGGGGATCCGCATGCGCCGACAGACAACCCATTGATCGCGTCGTCCTAAGCGCTGCGGTCTTTTTGCCAAGAGAACGCATGCGCGCGGTTGCGTGCCCCAGCGGCCCCGCCATTTCATGCGCGCTCGTTCAAGACGCAAGAACAATGGCGCCGCGCCCCCCCCCCCCCCCCCCCCCGACCCCCTCTTCCCCCGCCCACAAAGACGCAGCGCGTGCAAAGCAACGCGCGGGCGATGGTAAACGCAGCCCCAGAGTTGCTTGCTTGGGCGCGGCACCAGGGCGGGTGGCCGCGGCATTTGGTGGTTGAGCGAAAGTTGGGCGAAGTGGTGGCAGTGGTAGGACGTCTCCTGGTTGTCATCGCCGTCGCCGTCGTCGCCGTCGGGCTGGAGCCCATGCAGTCGTCGCCGTCGCCGTCGCCGTCGCCGTCGCTGCCGCCGCAATCGCCGTCGCCGTCGCCCCGCGCAAGTGTCGGCGCTCGGTTCGCGCTTCGTTTCAAGGGCGGTCGGCGCGCGCCAGGCTGCGCGTTAATGCTTGTGCGCGTTCCCACGGGCGAGCGCAAGCGCAGCGTTTGCGATTTGCAGGGGGGCGGCGGGCATGTGAGACGCCGCGCGCGAAAATGCATTGCGCATCACGTTCTCGGTGTCGCCACTTTACCCACCCCCCATCCCTTTTTCCCCGAGGCCCCCCCGCGCCCCCCTTGCAAACGCTGCAGCGCGCGCCACGCTGACGCGACATTTCCCATCGCTGCGGTGCCGATATAACTTTACAGGGCCCTGGCGTTTCCCATGCAGCGCTTTGCCAAGCCAGCGGTGCGCGTTGAATACTTGAGAACCCTTGGTCGTCAAGCTCGGCGTGTGGTGTGCGTTCTCGCGTATGTGGGGTAAATACATATATATACATATACACGCACCATTTGACGTATACGTTGGGTTCGTGGGGGCTTTCAGGGCGAGCCAGTTGGACGCGCATTGTTTAGGATACGTGGGTGTTAGTTAAGACACGCTGGGGTTATGTAAGGTACGTTGACGTTTTTTTTCGGCATCAGGGAGGTTCGCTTTATTTATGCAGGATGCGCCAGGGTGCACTGGGATACCTGGGGGTTCTTCCTGATGGGTTGGGGCACGCTGGTGTTATTCAAGGTGCGCTGTGGTTATGCGTGGTCAATGGTGGTTTGGCGCGGTTGTTTAAAGTACGCGGTGGTTGCTTATATGGTGCGTGGATTTTCGTTCGGGTACATCATGGTTCGTTGGGATTCTTTGGGATGCGCCAAGATTTCATAGGTTCCGTGGGTGATATGTATGAAACATGTGGTTCCACAGGGTTTGTTTAAGATACGTCCGAATTCCTCAGAATATGTTGGGATCGTGTGGGGGTTGGTCGGGATTTGTTGGGTTTGTGTAGGGCACGCGGGGATTAGCTTGAATTCTGTAGGATACGTGAGGATTCTCAAGGGTACGTGGGGGTTTGCTCACAATCTGGTGGGCACCTAAGGGTTATGTAGGGCACTTGGGGGTTACATCAGGTACATTGGGGTTTCGTATGGTTTCTGTAGGGTACATCAGGATTCCGTGGGATACGCGGGGGGGTCGCCAGGTTTCCTGGGCATGCGTGGAGGTTCTAAGTTTGGGCACGGGGGTACATCGCAATTCGCACACATGAAGTTCGGGTGCGGGGTGGAAGTGTTTCTGTTTTAGCTTGGGGCCCCGTTCCGATGTGGGGACGGCTGGGCATGCGTTGAGGTGTTTGGCCAATGATGGAATGTATGTGGCATTCGCCCGATGCTGGAGTGAAGATCGCATGCGTATGCGTTGCATTGCACCTGTGGCGAACTTCGGGCCATTCGTTTGGCGCCCCTCCTCGCCCTCCTCTCCCGCCTCCGCCTCCGCCCCCTTCCCCCCCCTCCTCCTCCTCCCCCTCCTCCTCCTCCTGATGTTCCACCCCCCCCTCCTGTCCCCGCGCCCTCCACTGCCCCCGGTTGCGACAAATGCGCATCAAGGCGCCGCCGCCCGCAATGGCAAACTACAGCGCCATGCGCGCCGCCGCCCCTCGGGGCAAAGAAGGCGGAGGGAGAGGGCGAAGGACGAAGCGGGGAGGCCACGTCCTGCAAGACGCAAGGGCTTTGCGCCACACCTGCCTCCCGCCGACGAAGTCGCTGATCAAAGAGGTCTGGGCGCGCACCCCCGTGGGCAAATTCGGAACGTGCCCCCCCGAGGCGTCGGCGATGTGCTTCTCCCAGGGCATCGGCTGCACCTGCCCTGCGTTCACGACGACCTGGCGCAAGAGGACTTCGCACATGACGGCGGGCACCTCCGATAATGGCGTCACGGACATTTTGCGCCCCTGGCCGAAGCACTCTACATCAAACTCATATGCGCCGTGCGCCTGGAAACCGCTGTTCAAGAGATCTCGGGCCCCAGCCTTGGACGCAGCCGTGAAACTATCATATGCCTCCTGGTCAGAATCAGCGCGGATAACATCAGCCAGGCGTATCTTCGTGTCCACGAGGAAAGAATGCCACTTCGCCTGGCGGGCCTCCCCGCTGTAGATTTTCTGCCCCATCTCGGACTTGAGCAAAGACGTCAGCACCAACAGGGGGATGTTGCGCTCCTCCCCCTCGGCCCCGATGGCGCGGGCGATGGCGTCGGGGTCGAGGAACAGCTCGAGCTCCGGCAAGAACTTGCGGCAGAAGGTCGCGCGGGGAGTGCGGGCGGACATGGTCTCCCATTTGTTGATGAAGATCTCTTCAAAACGGCGCTTGCACACCGCCCGCATGTCTGGCCACTCCACGTGAACCTCCCAGGGCGCGCCGGGAGTCGGCGGCATGCAAACATCGACCGGATGCTCGCGCGAGCCTGACGAAATACCCAACCTCTTACAGCTGTGGGCGCCCTGCGGGGCCACCAACCGCGCGGGGGGTGCGAGCGCGCGGGGCGGCGCCGCCACGTGGGCCACGCCACTGGGGCCTTCGGCGGGGCCCCCCAGGAGGCGGCGAACCGCGCGAGGGGCGCGCCAACATGGCTGTGCGGCACGGAGGAAGCAGGCGCAGGAGGGGGCGGGGGAAGGGACAGGAGAAGAGGAGGAGAAACGCGGGGGATCGCCCCCCCAATGCAAGGACCCAACGCCACAGGATGCCGCGGGCAAAACCTTTCGCCTCGGACACGCCCAAGCCATCGGGGGGTGTCCTGGGGCGCGCCCGAGTCCGGGGCAGACGCCCTCCCTGGCGGCGCGCGGCCTGCTCCAAACCCTCCGAACAAGATCGCCCGCGCTGAGATTGAGACCCGCTGCCCTCCGCAACGTGCCCGGGCCAAACATCTCATTCCCAGGGGCGTGGATCTTGGTGGGCTCGGGGTTGGGGCCGCGCAGAACAGACGCGCAGCAAGGGCCCCCTCCCCCGTCAGGCAAATTCGCCCGACCTGCCGCAAACGCAGGGGGGGGGCCTTGCCCCCCCTGTTCTTGCCAATCGCTTTTCAGAACTCCAGACAGGCGAACCTTTCCCCCCCCACAAAAACCCTTCTGTGCGAACGACTGGGCGCGCCTGGGCAAGTTGGCTCAACAACCAGGTAAACGACGTTGCGTACCAACACCGCGTGTAAGGACGCCCCCCGCCATCTATCACGCCCTCGAGGGGGCGCTGGGAATGGAACCGAGTGCCCTTCGGAGTCTTAGCGACATGGTTTGGGCAGGACAGGGAGTCATCAAATTTCCTCTGCGGCAACGTCGAAGACGCAAAGTGGCGCACATGCGGATGAGGAAGGGGGCCGGAACCAATGCTTTCCGCGAGCGCACGACGCTCAGATCACGCAGCGGGGCCCGCTAGGCCACGACATTGCTTGAAACTCTGCCAACTTCATTATCCAGCGTCGAAGGGGGCCCATTCGGCCGCAGTGCCACCGACAGAAAACACAGGAGAACTCACCCCCAAACGACGCTCGCAAAGACCAGGCCCCGCCCTTGCCAAGACCCCTTGAAAGACCCTGCAAATGGCCCTGCAATGCCCTGCGTTTGCAATGACTTGCAACTTTTTTAACACGGCACTGGGCGACAATATCCTTAACACGGCGTTGAAGGACAATTCTTGACGCTTCGCGTATCCCCACCAGCCCATCCAGTAACGATGCCCAGGCGAATGGAGGTGATCAGGGAAGTGAGGGAGCATGCAGAGGAACAAAGGGCTGGGGAACCCGTCTTACCCAAGACGGCGAGGATGGAGGAGGAATCGGAGGAGGATGAGGAGAAGGAGGAACTGAAGGAGGAGGAGGGGGGGCGGGAGGAGGAGGAGCAATAGGCGGATGAGGAGGAGGAAAAGGAGGAGCAGGACGAGAACGAGGAGGAGGGTGAGGAGAAGGGCGAGCAGGGTGGCCAGAGGCCTCTTGGATGCCTTTAGGAGTCACTTCGGATGTCTCTTGGGAGCGTCCTGAAGGCCTCTTAGGGCGTCTCGGGAGCGTCTCGGCGGTCCCGGAGGCCTCTTGGGGCGTCTTGGGTGCCTCGGGGGGGCCTCTTGGGGACCTATTGGGGCCATATTGGGGCCATCTTGGGGCCATCTTGGCGCCTTTTGGGCCCTCCTTGGCGCCTCTTGGGCCCACCTTGGAGGCGATCGATCACAGAAGAGGGTGGGGTTAATGATCCCTGCCCCTCTAGATCCTCTAAAATCGCCTCTTGGGCACATCTCGAGGCGCTCTCGGGGCCGTCTTGAGGATCTCGCGGGCCCCTCTTGGGGCTAAGTTGGGCCCTCTTGGAGCCGTCTTGAGGCCTCGGAAGGCAATCGGAAGCGCAAAGGCGAGAAAGCAACAAACATCGATGCCCCTTAGGTTGTTGAAGGGTTTTGGCCTCTTTGAGGCCTCCTGGGAAAGCTAGTTGGCCTCTCGGAGCCGTCCTGGGGCGGTCTTCGGGCCTATTGGGGCATCTTCGGGGCCATCTTGAGGCATCTGAGGCTAGCTTGAGCAATCTTGGAGCTCACCTTGGGCTCCCCCAGGCGCTCTTGGAGCCATCTTGGGCCATCTTGGACGCTCCAACTACCAGCGAAAGCTCCCGTCCAGGTCCAGGGGGGGGGGGGTAGGGGGAAGGGTAAACCCCTCCCCGAAGGGAGAGAGAAGGGGCTGGAAGAGGAAGCCCCCTAAACCACCTACGCCCAGAGGGCTGGTGGGATTTGGTTAACATTACGTCGGGGGGCAACTTCGTTAGCACGGCTGCCCAAGAGCACCCTAGGCGAAAGCAGACAAGTTGGGGGTGTCTTCGGCGATGCCGCCGCCTCCTGGGCCCCAAAGAAGCGGGGGGGCGCGAACGGTTGCGGAGAGGGTCGTTGGGGCGGGCGCCAATTCCGCAGCACCTTGTGCTTGACGACGCACCGAAGCGCCATCCACGCCATGCGCTCGCAAGGGCCCTTCTGCAACTGCGCGCACTCGACGCTGTTGGCGAGCAGGGCGTACAGCTGCTGGAGCGAGAAGGGGTCGCAGGTCTGCAAGTGTGTCTCCAGTCTGTCAAGACCCTGGATCTTTGCGGCGGGGTTGTCGCCGAGCACCATCTTCATGATGCTGACCAGCTCATCGTCGATGTCTCAAATGGTTTGCCTGTTTTCAGTATCAACATCCTTCGCTTTGGGAGCAGATTTGGGGGGTGTGATGTCTCGAGCGAGGCGTTCACTTTCACCCCCCAGGTGGGCCAGATTTTGAGGACGTCTCGATCGGTGGCCGGACTCGTGGGCACTGATTCCCCTCAGGATGCCACAGGAGGCCCAACAGGCTCCAGGAGGCCCCTGGGGACCACATGAGGCCCCCTGAGGCATCAGGAGGCCGCAGAAAAACCCAAGAGGCCACAGGATGCCCCAAGAGGCCCTAGGAGGCCACAGGAAGCTCCGGGAGGCCTCCGGAAGCCACAGGAGGCCCCAGGAGGCCAGAGGAAGCGCCAGGAGGCCTCGGAAGGCAACAGGAGGCCCCGAGAGGCCCCAGGAGCAGGAGGCGTCAGAAGGCAACGGGAGTGGCTCCAATCCCATGTGTTTACCGTATGTTCCTATATATTGGGCCTCACCTGGAGCACGAATCCTTGATGTTTTATACGTGTGATTATATAGATTGTCATTCTCCTGTGTACCTATGTTGCTATAAGGCCTCTCCTGGGGCACGCGTCCTTGGTGTTTCACGCGTGTTCCTATAGATTGCCCCCTTCTCCTGTGGCTCCAATCCGCAATGTTTTATGTACGACTGTTGCTAGAGATTGGGCCTCTCCTGGGGCACGAATCCCCCCCAGGAGGTCCCAGGAGGCCCCAGGAGGCCCCAAGAGGCTCCTGGATGCCCCAGTAGGTTTCAGGAGGCCCCAGGAGGCCCCAGGAGGACCCAGGCTCATGCGCAGAAGCGCGCTCGTACTACTGAGGCTCATTCACACTCCAATTGATTATCAGTTCGATTCATGACCCGACCGTCACAACTGAAGCCCGCTTACATTCGAAAACTCCTGCGCCAAGGCACTCACGGCGGACAGGTCAATGCGAATAGATGTACATATGGGGAGCCCCACGCAGTGAATACTTTGATTCACGGTGGCGAGTGGGGCGTGCAACGACGTCCCTCCCCATCGTCAGTTACCCACACCATTCTTCATGTGTCTTTCTGTTTTGTGTTTCGCGTCGGACTTGCTTGTGACGGGACTGCAAACTTGTGGACGTCCGCAACGTGGTCCGTTGGGAGGCTTCACAACTGGCTCAAAGAAGCTCCCGAACGATCAACTACAAAATCCTTCCTGACATCCTGGACACCTGAGAAACAACACCCAAGCACGATGGAAAGGAAGCAAACGAGGGCAGGAAGAAGGGCAGGGGCAAGCGTGGAGGGAGGTCAATGGATGGGGTCGGTGCGACAGGATGAAGGAAAAACAGCCAGAGGGACATTCAACATGGGGGGGGGGGGCGTTTGTCTTGATAGCACCCCTACCCCCTATCGAAGCTTGGCAGTGTGAGGCATGATTGCTCGTCCTTGTTTCGAAGTTCTTGGAGCAGGGCGATTGTAGTCACTGGGAACATCTGTCTTCGTCGGCGGCGAGGCGAGCGCAATCCGCACCGACGAAGGGGCACATCCGTGGCACTACTGAGAGAATTGCCCGCTGAGGAGCACCTTCGAAATAATATCAACTGGTTAATATGAACCAGCACACAAGAGGCGCAACAACACCAAGACATACTCATCCGGTACATGGCCGCACGAATTAACACAAACGCGAGTGCACATGAACATGCGCTTCAGGGATCCGCGCGGCCCTCCCCCGTGCCTCTTCCACGACCCTCCCTCCTCCACATGCCTCCCCTCACGCCCCACCCACTTCCCCTCGACTCGTTTCCCGACCCGTTCCACCCTCCCTCTGAAAACCACCCCTCTCGGCCTACGCCGTGTACATCGCCGAATTCTAGCGCGGAACTCAAACAGGATCACAACCGTGCTCCCGCCAATCTCGTGCCTCCCTCCCCTCCCTCACTTCCTTGGCTCCCCTTTCCTCTGTTCCCGCCTTCCCTCCACCCCGCCCCCCCCCTCCCACTAACTGCCACAACCCCGAGAGACCGAGAGACCACACGGAATGCATCGACGTTCTCTTGGGCAGGATACGCTCTTCCAACTCTCTGACTGCAGGCCAGGCGTCGCACTGCATCTCAAGCAGGAGAGATGACATTGAAAAACAACAGCGACACGTGCAGCGAAACCACCCCCGTCAGTGACAAGCCCCTCGGGCTGACTCCCCTCGCACCCCTGACACGCACAGAAGTGACCGCAAACCAACATATACCAGGCATGCCAAACGGCGTAACAATACAATGCCCTTGCGCGACCCCCCTTTGAACAACTGTGTGTGCTATTAGGGAGCGTTGGTGGCCGCTTGGGGAGTGAGGCATCATAGAGGGCATCTCGGGGGCCTTCTTGGAGGCCTCTGGCCCGCCTCGGAATGGAAATTCACATTTTCGGTTCGTGGTTCGCGAGTTGTTCCAGTATTGGGGCCGTTCGGGGGCGTTTTTGGGCCGCCTTGGGCTGCCTCTGGTCTGCCTCGGAGTATTATTGGGCCATGGCGGCGAGCTCTCGTGAAGGTAAATCCGGGCAGTTTCTTGACGATATTGGGGAACTCTCGCGCCGTCCTCGGGCGTTTGCCAACAGAAGAGGCGATGATTCCAGCACCGTGCAAAAACGGATCGGACATCAAGAAATTTTAGTTCCCTCGGGCGTGCTTGTGAGGCACCACGGGTGGCATGTTGGGGCGGTAGCGCGGCCCCTAGGAGTCATGTTGGGCCGCCTCGAGGTGGAAGGTTCTCACTGTCGAGCCCCAACTTTATTACGGCACTGCTTTGTCCGAATTATGTGGGTATCTTCGGATATGTTTTATCCGTCATGTGGGCCTCTTGTGCCCTCTTGGGGACGTATCGGGGGCAGCGCACGCTTCCATGGGGTGGCCATGGGAAGGCCCTGGGCCTTCTGCGACGGTCGGAATGTAAAACAAACGAAGGTTACAACATCGGGCAAACATGTTGCGACAATCCGCGATGTTTTCCCCATTTCCTAAAATGGGGATATTGTTATTACTTGGACGCCTCCTCCTCCTCCTTCTTCTTATTAGTATTATTATTAATATTCTCCTTCTGCTCCTCTCTCTTCTTTATACCCAGGGCTTACTCATACACAAACTGACTCACACTCAAACTTCCTCATCCCCAGACTTACTCACACACAAAATTACTCTTACTCAGACCTGCTCATACTCAGACCTACTCCTATTCAGACTTATTCATGGTGAGACTCACGCACGCCCCGTTCGTGGCCGTTTTGCGGGGGTGCCTCAAGCGGTTTGCCTGTCTTCTGTCCCAACATCCTTGGCTACCAGAGCAGACTGTGAGGATGTCTCAGGCGGGACGCTGGTTTCAGCCCCCCCTGACGGAAACCACCACGTGTTATTTCACTGTCCCATTCGCGGCCGTTTTGTGGAGATGTCTCAAGCGGTTTGCCTGTTTCCTGTCCCAACATCCTTCGCTGTCGGAGCAGATTTGGAGGATGTCTCAAGCGAGGCGCTCATTCTCACCCCCCATAGGGGGAACCGCCAGGGCTTATCTCACGGTCCCGTTCGGGGCCGTTTTGTTGGGATGTCTCAAGCGGTGCCCCTGTTATCTGTTCCAACATCCTTCGCTTTCGGAACAGATTTGGAGGATGTCTCGAGCGTGGAATGGGAGGCGCGCGCGAATGAGGGGGGGAAGGGGCAATGCGGCGAGGAGGAGGAGGATGAGGCGGAAGGCGTGGATGACACGGGGAAAGGGAGGGGAGGGATAACGAGGGCGGTTGAGGGGGGCGAGGGAGTGGGAGAACACCAGGATGACGAAGGCGAAGGAGGATGAGAAGGAGGAGGAGGATAACAGGAGAAAAGGGGGGTAACGTGAGGAGGCAGGGGATTAGTACGATGGCGAAGTGGGACGACGGGGGGTAGAAGATAACAAAGAGGAGGGGTCATGCCGCATTCAATTTCCTCTGGCCCTTTCCGGCCGTTTTGCTGCGATTTGGGCGGTTCTTCGGGTGGTGCCGAGCGCTCTAATACCCAGAAGGGCGAGAGCGTGACGTTCCTTTTCATTTTCTTGTGTCTGATCAGTTTGATGGCGCCCGAAAAGCATCCTCGCTGACAGCGCGCGGTATTTTTTGGGAGCTCTTGGATTGTCCTCGGGTTGGTGTGAATCATTTTGGGCCGCATGGGCCGTCGCATCGTGATTGTCTCTATGAAAAATGATCACCTTCAGCGGTGTCGGCCGTCGTTGGGGGCAGTGTGCGCCGCCATGGCAGTTCGCATCAATGCAGAGGACGTTTGAATGACATAGGGCCGATGGGGGGGGGGGGGCGGCATATTTGGGAGCAGTTGCGACGATTGGTATGGCCGAGCCGCCCTCATTCTAAATATGCGACGTGCTCGTTTTTTTTGTTTTTCCAGGGCGTGCTGTCAGCAGGGGGAACGCCGCGCGCCTGGATGCCCCGATGGGAGCTCGCGGATTGGATTTTACAGTGCGACGGTGGCCCCAGTCCGTTATCACCGCGTGATGTTCGCCCCGCGCGGATGGCGTTGCATGTCAGACGGGTAATCCCCATCGAGGGTTTGGTGCAGTTTGCATTTTCCCCATATCCTAAAATGGTTGTTTGTTATTACTTGGACGCCTCCTACTCCTTCTCACTCTTCTCCTGCCCTCTCCTCCTCATGCCCCGACTTACTCATATACAGACTGACTCGCACTCAGACTAACTCAGACACACATTCACACACAAATACCTACTCATACTCATACCTACTCATACTCAGACCTGCTCCGACTCAGACTTACTCATGCTGAGACTCACGCGCGCCCCGTTCGCGGTCGTTTCGCGGGGATGCCTCGAGCGGTCTGCTCGTTTTCTGTCCCAACATATTTCGCTATCGGAGCTGATTTAGAGGATGCGTCGACCGAGGCGCTAATTTACACCCCCCCTTAGGGGAGCAGCCAATGGTTATGTCACGGTCCCCTTCGCGGCCGTTCTGTGGGGA